TCTCTCCTGCTGGTAGTGTACTGGAGGAGGAGACACCCCTTCTCGCGAGATTGTAATAAAGAGTAACTTTTTGCTTCCACCTTGAGAAGTCTCTGAATTTAATTGTGTTAGGGTTGCTATACCACACACCTGGAATGTTCTCCCTCCTCATCTCTACCTCCTGGCTTCTCTCACTTCCTTCTACTCCCAGCTAAAATCTCATCTTCTACAGGAAGCCTTTCTCAACCCCTCTTAATTCTAGTGCCTTCCTCTCTTAATTACTTCTTATTTATGCTGTACATAGCTTATTTGTACATTTTGGTTTACATGTTTGTCTCTCCCATTAGGCTGTAAGATCCCTGAAAGCATGGACTATCTTTTGTCTCTTTTTATATCCCCAGTATTTAGCACATAGTAGGCTCATAATAAATGTTTGTTAACAGAATGATTGTTATTGTATAGATTATTCTCCTAGTGCTGCTCCCTTCACTTTGCATCAGATCATACCAATCTTCGTAAGTTTTTCTGAAACCATCCCCATCATCATTTCTTAAAGCACAATAGTATTAAGTCACATTCATATACCATAACTGTTCAACCATTTCCAAATTAATCGGCATCCCCTCTATTTCCTGGAATATTGTATTCTAAGCTCTCTACTTCTTTATACTGGATACTGGTAGTTGTTAAATCATGTGTGATTCTATTTGAATTCTTTCTGGCTACTTACTGTCTTTTATTTCTTTGACCTGGAAGCTCTGAGGTTTTGGCTATAATATACCTGGGAGTTTTCATTTGTGAGTTTATTTTTAGAGGTGACTGGTGGAGTCTTTGTATTTCTATTTTGCCCTATGGGTATAAGAGATCTGGTCAGTTTTTTTTTATGATTTCTTGAAATATTTGGGTTGGTTTTTTTTTTCTTAGACATGGCTTTTAGCTTGTCTGAAGTTTCTAAAATTCTCTCTCTTTAAACTCTTTTCTAGGTCATTTATTTTTGCCATAAGATAACTTACATTTTCTTCTGTTTTCAGTCTTTTGACTTTGTTTTAATATTTCTTGATGCCTAATGGAGTTGATGCAGTCTAGAGGTTAGGGGTCCTGGCACCCTAAAATCACGATACCCAGGTCCTGCCCAAAAGAATTCGACCCAAGCATTCCTGTAGCCAAAAACAAAGTTTATTGAAGATTCACCATATTAGCTAGACCCTTAAGGAATCTGAGCATCTATGGGCTATTGGCTAGATTGTAAAATCTGAGCATCTTAATGGAGACAAGATGGACCTTATATACAGAAAGATCATAGGAGAGTGGCCAAGTAGTCCATGAGGTAATAGAATTCCCAAGGGTGGGAAATGGCCTGGGGCCATAGGGAGGACACCAGTTGATGGGACTGTAGCCGCAGGGAAACGCCAGAGATTTGGCCATGTGGGAAAGTCCAGGGTTTTTCCTTTCTGGGGCTCAGATTCCAACCCCATCAGAGTCATTGGTTTCCATTTGGTTCATTTTAACTTAAGGGAGTTTGTTTGCTTAGGTTAAGTTTTAGACCTCTTGTGCCAAGCTTTTAATTCTATTTCCAATTCTTTCTTCTATAACTTTCATTTCTTTTCCAATTTCTTTATTCTAGCCCTATAAATTTTATTTATTTTTTTTATTTTTATTTTTTTTATTTTTTGGGTGAGGCAACTGGGGTTAAGTGACTTGACCAGGGTCACACAGCTAGTGAGTATCATGTGTCTGAGGCCGAATTTGAACTCAGATCCTCCTAACTCTAGGGCTGGTGTTCTATCCACTGCACTATCTAGCTGCCCCTATAAATTTTCTTCATAAAAACATTTTAAAAAGATTTTCTTAACTCTTGCTTCGTGTCTTCTAGGAATTTTAGCTGAATTTGTGCCCAAGCAATGTTTTTACTTGAGGCTTTGTTTGTAGATATTTTAGAATCATTCCTCTACTTCTGGCTTTGAGTGTTAAGCATCTCTGTCACCACAGGTCTTTACCTATGTGGAATTCTTTGTTTGTTTGCTAATTCATCCAGCCTGTTTCTTGACTTCTGACTTTTGTGTTAGGGCCAGGCTCTGGCCACTTCTGGAGGAAATGTCTGTGCTGTTCCTGTTGCTGCTTTCTTGGGGTATTGAGCGTTATTGTATTTAAGGATCCCAGAGACAGCCCACGCTAGGGAACTTCCAGGGCAAAGTGTGATTTTTTTTTTTTACCTCCTGGTGTGAGTGCTACAAGTTCCTGACCTGGGTTTGGGTCTGAGCAATGTGGCTGTGGGCTTGCCCTGGTTAGTGTTCTAGTAGACTGCTGCTGGACTCAGCCATCATCAACCAGATGGACATCTCTGGAGGTTCAGAGTGACAGCATTGCAGGCTTCCCTTTGCTTTGGGATTCAAACCAGTTCCTGGGGGCAGAGACACAACAGGAACTCACTCTTTACTCAGTGTGCAACTTGAAAACCACAATCACTCTAGCCACAGGTCCCCTCCTCAGTCTGCCCTGGATCTGTGGCCCAGAACTGAGTTAGAAAGTTGCCAGTTGAACTGTTTCTGCACCCTGCCCAGGACCTGAGGCCTCTTCTTACCCTACTACACATATTCTCTTCCCTGGGCTGCTCTGTGTTGCTCGATTCTCTTCTCCTTATCCATCCTCACTTCTATAATTTTCCTGCTCTGAATAGGAGGTGCCAAGGTAATTCTGGTAGTACTTTTGGCCCCGCTAATTTACTTCTATCTGTGGGAAACTTCAAATAGCTGTGTCTTGCCTGACTGAGGCAGGGGTTACAGTGAGACTGAAAATCTCTGTTCAGTTTCTCACACCCATCTCTCCACTTCAAGATCCCAATTCCAGGTCCCCACAGCCCTCTCCTAAAAAAGTAAGTCAGGCCTTTCTGGGATCACAGACCAGAAATCCAATATCCAGTGTGATTGACTGACAGAGCTGGGGAAGAAAACCTTTGGAAGTGTTGATTCAGTCCTGTTGTCATTCACTGCTCTTGTTCAGTTGTCTCAGTCATATCTAACTTTTTGTAACCCCTATTTGGGGTTTTCTTGTCAAAGTTACTGGAGTGGTTTACCCTTTCCTTTTCCAGCTCATTTTGCAGATGAGGAAACTCAGGCAAACAGGGTTGTCCAGGGCCACAGGGCTAGTAAGTGTCTGAGGCCAGATTTGTGCTCAGGAAGATGAGTCTTCCTGGTTTCAAGCCCAGTGCTCTATCCACTGCACCACCTAGCATCATTCTCTGTGAGTTCCTTTTGTGTAGAAACTTGCTTTTGTGAGAGCTCTCCCTCAGGTATCTTGGTGTCCTCCCCAAAGGAGCCCTGACACTACTGTTTATTTGACTTCTCCTTTCCCCCAGGTACTTTTAAAGTCTATCCATTTGAGCTATAATATAGGCAACTGTAAAGAGCATGATAGTCTTAGGGAAAACACTGTCACTGGTTTGGTAGCAAAGTCAATAAATGAAAGTAACTGCTTATATTTACAGTCAGTTGGCACCTATCTTGAGGGTCTCTTCAAGAAATTGTTGCCCTCTGTTAAAGAACAGCAGGCTAGAATGGAAAGAACACTGGGGAACAGAATAAACATTTATATAGCACCTACTATGAGCTAGGTACTGCTCACAAAATTTTTAGAAATATTATCTCATTTTCATCCTTAGAACAACTCTGGGAGATAGGTGCTTAATATTCTCCGCATTTTACAGATGAGGAAACTGAGACAAAAAGAGGTCAAGTGACTTGCCCAGGGTCTCACAGTTAACAAATGTCTCAGATTGGATTTGATCTCAGGTCTTCCGGACTCCTGGCCAGTTCTCTATCCACTGCACCACCAGTAGCCTCACTGGATTTAAAGTCGGTAGACTTGGGTTCTAGTTTCAATATGGTTCCTTACAAATCTTTTTTATTTTAGGCAAGTCATTTTCCATCTTTGGGCAATAGTTTCTTACATTGTAAAATGAGGAGATGGGAGCAGATGATGTTTCAGGTGCGCTTCCAGCTCTAAAATCTTCTGTTCTTACAAATATTACCAGGCACTGTGCTAAGCTCTGGGGATACAAAGAAAGGGGGAAACTGTTCAAAACCCTCAGAGAGCTCACATTCCAATGAGGGAGACAACCTGTAAATAACTAGGTACATATAAGATACCTAAAGATAAATGGTACAGCAGATAGGGCACTGGCCCTGGAGTTAGGAAGAGCTGAGTTTAAATCCTGCCTAACTAGATGTATGACCCTGGACAAGTCACATAACACGTCAATGTCTCAATTTCTTCATTTTAAAAATGGGGGTGATAATAGCACCTACTTCCCAGGCTTGTTATGAGAATTAAATGAGATACTTGTAAAGTGCTTAGCAAACTTCAAAGTGTAATATAAATAATATAATAAAATAAAAAATAAATAATAATGTTGTTATTATTATACATACCAAGTGGATGGAAGGAGGGCTGAGGGAGGGCTTCTCTAGCTTTGAGTGCTGGGGAGGGATCAAGAAAAGTCTCCAACGGAAGGTGACATTTGAGCTGAATGTGGAAAGAAGCCAGGGATTCTTGAAGATAAAAATGAGGGGTGAATTCTAGGCATTGAGGAGACCCAATGCAAAGACACAGAGAGAGGGTGTTGTATGGTAGAAATAGCAAGCAAGTCAGTGCAATAAAAGGCATCTAAATAGAGTAACCTAATCATAATAAAGTTATTACTTTAAATAATAAATCATTTAATTTATAATTATTATAATTTATTACTTTAAATAAATATTATAAATAAATATTACTAGACTTCCACATAGTAAGCTCTGTATAAATGTTAGGTATTATTATTAAATTAGCAGAGATGGGACTAGAACCTAGTCTAGGACTCCCAGTCCAGGGTTTTTCCACAATATTTCTACTCTGATACTTCACAGAATTTTTTTGAGAATCCAATGTTATAATGTGTCCGAAAGCCCTCTATACAGGGTCAGACATTATTACTATTCTTATATCTGTTCTAAATTTCTAACCTTTCTCCTATTTGTGTATAGGACCCAAAGAAAACAGAGAGAGCACTCACAGACTCCAGTGTTGTGGATGAGAGCAAACAAAGCAAACGCCAGCAGCTGAAAAAGGTTTTTAAAGAATATGGAGCCGTGGCTGTTTCGTTGCATATTGGGATCTCATTAATATCTTTGGGAATATTCTACTTGGTTGTTTCAAGGTATGACCTTTGGTCTTTAAGAATTTCATCAGGAAGTGAGACAAATGGACAGTCCGCTAATGGAGACAAGAAAACCTGGGTTCGAGTTCCCGTCTCTGACGCATGTACTTCTGAGGCCCTGAACAAATTGCTTAACCTCTGACCTACTCCCAGCAGACTCTCTGAGATCATAAATCACAGAGAAGGTGCTAAAGGGAATTTCATAACCACTGAAATCTCAGGCCTGGTTCCATCCACTCCTTCCCCACCCATTCCCCCCCCCCCCCCCCAAAAAATGTTTCAGATGAGGACTGCTATCTAAATATTTAATTATTTAAAGCTACCAGTGACATCTGACAGTTTTTTGACAGCAAACTGTCTTTTTTCCAGTGCAGTAGAAAGAGCACTGGACATGAGTACAGGTTTTATATAGGATCCTACAATTTAAGATTCTTACTTAGATATTATTTATCATTCTTAAATATTATATATACACACACACGCACGTGTGTGTGTGTGTGTGTGTGTGTGTGTGTGTGTGTGTGCAGTGTATATGGTTATTTTCATGTTGTTTCCCTCATTAGAATATGACCTCCCTGAGGGGCGGGAACCATGTTTTTGTCTTTACTTTGTATACACTATGCTTTGCATACTGAGTGCTTAATAAATGCTTTTTGACTGACTTATAATAGCATTTATCTCAAATGGTTGTTGTGTGGATCAAATGAAATAATATATTTAAAGCATTTTGCAAATCCTAAGGATATATATGTATGTGTATACATGTACATATACATATACATATACAAGCTGCTGTCATCACCCACCATCACCAGTATTAGTTGGAAGAAGGCTTAGAAATCATCGAGATTATTTCCTTCATTTTACGGAGGAGGAAACTGAGATCTCAAGATGTTGATTTGACCCAGGGTAACATAGGAAGCAGAACTGGCCATAATTTGAACCCAGGTTCTCTGATTGCAAGTCCAATGTGCTTTCCACATCTCACCAGATGTGAACTCAACACAACACAAGATGCACACCTTCCTTCCCCAGACAACCCCCTCTGCCCAACCAACTCCCATCCCAGATGTTTGCTCTCCACTTCCAGATGTGCACTTTCTCATATTCCCTCTCTAATGCTTCTCTTCACTTCCAGTCTGTAGCTGTAAGATCTAGAGGGAAGTACATCTCTTGAATTTCACTTTCTTCCACTATAAGCAAGGATAATATCCTTGCACTGCCTTCCTCAGAGGGTTATTATTATTTAATGTAAATCAAGGTGCTTTGTACCCGAAACTTAACTGTATTAATTTATACTGTTAAAATGACAGCACCGATCACATAAGCATATGAATAAAAACTGAATTCATGCTGACTAGCATAGTTTTTGCTCATCTGGCTCTTTTCAACACTTAACACTGCAGGAAATTCTTTCTCTCACAGTTAAATAGCCTCTAATAATAAGTATAATTCCCAAGGATTGAAGGACCCTGTGGTGATAATTACATTTCTTATCTTTTTCTTTTCCAGTGGTGTGGATGTATCTTCCTTTCTCTTCAAACTCGGGTTTGCAGAATCGTTCCACAGCTCTAAGATTGTCGCTGGTACTAGTACATTTGTGATGGCCTATGCTATTCACAAACTGTTTGCCCCAGTAAGAATTAGCATCACGTTGTTTTCTCTGCCGCTAGTTGTGAGATACTTTCGGAAGGTGGGTTTTTTTAAGGCTCCAGGGAGCAAGCCTTGATTCATAAACACAGCATATAAACTTGTCTCTTAAGTCTTAAGCATTTTGGAGAGAGAGAGAGAGAGAGAGAGACTGTGTGTGTGTGTGTGTGTGTGTGTGTGTGTGTGTGTGTGTGTGTGTAAATCATTCATTACCATCTCTGGTTTTAAGCAGTCGTACTTGAAAAACAAATCTCCACTTGACATTAACTACTATGAGTTTGGTATAAAAGAAACACACATACCCAAAGACTGCCAGACTAGGATTCAATAGCATAACTGAGTTGAGTACCCAGTTTGTGACCTAGATAGAACAAGTCACTTTCTCTGGCCTCTTTTCCCTATCAGTAAAAAGAGGTGGTTGGACTCGATGATCTCTGAGCTCCTCTCTGATTCTTACATTGTGATGGAGTGAATGTCTGTACCTTCTATAATGTCAGCAGAACTTAAAGAAACCGACTGATCCTCAAATAGAATCACCAGGTAACTCAGTGAGAGGAGATTGATGAGTCTGCAAAAGCCTGAGGTAGGTTGGAAAGAAATAGGAGGGGGCCGCTGCTCTCTGAGTGAGTTCATAAAAACCAGTGATTGAAGCTTACTTTTAGAAATTCTGTCTTGTCTGATACTTGGCAGACTGCCTATGGCTAAATGTGGAATATTATTTCTGCAGAATAGCTACGTTTCTATGATTAATGACAGCAGATTTGAGGCTTGACCGCATATAATCAGGATCCAAATTAGCCCTCACACTTTGGTGACACTCATTAGTTTTGTTTTGGAACGTTTAAAAAATAGTTCCTGGTAATGTTTGCACTGACTTCCAATAGAGCACCTTGGAATGTAAACATTTCAGAATGCAGCATTACTTTCATTAAGTTTTTCAGTGGATCGAGGCCCAGCTGCTGTTGTGTTTCTTTATTCAGGTAAACTTCGAAGCATTTTTTCAGTCGTCTTCGTGGCAATACAGGGCCATTGAGCATCATTTATAGAAATCCTGAAAATGACGGGATGATAAACCTATCTGATTTTACCTGGAATTGAACTTATAGCAATACCGAGTCATGTGTCCCAGGGGCCTTTCCACATTAATAGATGACGAGAAAAAACAAACTCACAAAGTAGTAAATGAGAATTTGACCCTGACGTTTGTTTTAAGTGCTCTTGTCAACATATAGTTAAGTTACCACTTTGCAGCTAGGTGGTACGTTGGGTCAGCATTGAACTTCAAATCCTGCCTTAGACACTTAGCCATATGACCCTGAGTGAGTCACTTTTTTTCTGTCTCAGTTTCCTCATCTGCAAAACATAGATAATAATAGCATCTAACTCCCAGAATTGTTGTGAGGATCAAATAAGATAAATATACACGAAATATACAGAATGAATAATCAGAAAGCTTTGGGCTCTGAGGGGAAATTCTACTTTAGATATAAAAATTAACTTGCTAGATGTGTAATTTTATATGCTTTGCAAACCTTAGCTATTATTATTGCTGGAAGAATCACTATGCAGAATTAGATGACTTTTCCCCTAGTTTTGTTTTTTTTTTTTAAAGCAATCTATCTTGCACTGAGTAGTCTTAAATAGCTATAGACACTTGGTGTTCTGGATTTCAGGGAATTGTTTTTGTTCTAGAAGTAGGTCCACTAAAATGGATAATTTGTGAACTAGTTTAAGACTTTGAGAATTAGTCATTTTCCTGTCTACCTTATGCAGCAGAAACCTCAAACTCCCCCTTAAAGGCTTGGTTTTACCTGGGCAACAGAAGGGGGATGTGTGAGAATAATTAGTAAACTTGTACTTCCTGCCCTTCCATTCCACTCCCTGCATTTTACCTGCTGTACTACTTTCAAAAGTTCAGATGCTTGAAGAACTGGAATTTAAGAATACCTTGGGGACTAAGCTACATCAATTGATACAATGTATTTTGTGTGTGTGTGTGATTGTTCATGAAGCAAAGAAAATTGTAGGCAGAAAATTTATTTCAAAATAAAATTATAATCAAATTTTTGCATCAACTGATAGACCTGATTCTAGTGTTAAAGATTGTTGAGAGGCTCTAATAAGAATGTTAAATAAAGTACTTTATATTGGAAAAGTAGCATAAATCCCATTGTGGTATACTGTGCTTCAGAGACCCATGATTCCATCAGTGTGGTAGGTACGGCCTCCTCTAACACAAAGCACAACTGCCTCATGCTTTAAAAAAATCGTTGTGTGAATTTTTGTGGCTGAAAAAATTAAACACTTGGTCGGACCACAGTTAGTCCATCTCCAGGTACATACTCAAGAGTTTTGCAGCTGGCACTTACGCTCCATTGGCCCAGCCTTCAGGAAGCCATGATCAGCTTCACATCACTGTGAGACATTAGGCGAAGATCTGAGTAAATGAAGAAAAAAACTCTTAAGTAATTGCAGTGGTGATTACAATATTATCTCACCAAGTTAATTGCCACATTACTGTCTATCTGAACCACTATTCCATTGAATTTTAATTCTCCTTTCCATAGTCACCGAGTAGAATGAGTAATCAGAAGGCTTTGGACTGAGGGAAATTGTACTTTATAAAAATTAACTTGCTTGATATATAATTTTATATTTTCATAGTTGATTTTCAAGGAAATAATAAACAAAACTGGACTTTATTCTGCTTGCAAGAACAAACTAAACCATTTTTAAAAAAATATCACCCAGTCAATTATGTTTTTGGGGAAAGTGTGATGTATAAACTATTTGAAATATGTATAAATAGAGGAGGCATTTTTGTAAGGCATATTTTGTGTAATGGGAATATATTTCATCTTAACAGTAATTATTTCTGATTTAAAAAGTAGTAGCAGAAGAAACTATATTGTATTATGGATGTTGCAGAATTACAATAAAATGTTTTGTCAGCACCTGTTCATTTTCTTATCTGGAGACTTTGTGAACTAACCTTCAAGAGTGAATTTATTTCTTATGAAAGCCCATGCACCTTATACATATACTGTGAAAAGGCTAGATATGGAATCAAGAAACCTGAGTTGGAATCTTGGCTCAGACACTTATTACAATGAAACCATCAGCAGGTCATTTAACTTCTCTGGGCCTCAGTTTCCTCATCTGTAAAATGAGGGAATTCAACTAGATGTCCTCTAAAGTCTCTCCCAACTTTAAACCTATGCTGCAAGCCACAAAACATGGCAAAAGGATATAGACTTAACATTTTAAGCCAATGGTCTCTGAAGTGGGGTGTGTGCCTGACACCAGTATGGGTTTGTGTGTTCAGTCACAGGGTAGAAAAACGATTGCATCCCACCCCATCCGTGATAGCCTGTGTGTTTGTCTCCAACACAACTACACCTAACTGCTACCCAGGTTCTCCATGGCAGTAGCTATGCAGTTTCCATTTAGAAAATTCTACCCCTCTTCTCATCCTCTAGATCATGGTATGGCTATGGAAGGCATTCCTTCCTCAGAAAGAGACCCACTTCCCTTCTTAGTTAGTAAATCACCCAGGATAAGCAGACATAGCTGGGTTGTGATCTGCATTAGAGATCTCATTGCATTATCTTTCCCCCAGCCCAAACCCATCCCTCTACCAGACTTCCCTCTTACTATTGAGAACATCACCATCTTTCCAGTCACCCAGATTCACAACCTGTGTCATCTTCAGCTCATTACTCTCCCTCACCTCACATACCCAATCACTTGTGAAATCTTGTCATTTCTACCTCCATAATATCTCTTAAATCCGTATCCTTTCCCTTTCTCACATAGCCATCACCCTAGTTCAATCCCTCATTACCTGTGATCTGGACTACTGCAGTACCTTCCCAAAATGGTTTTGTCTACCCCATATCCAATCCTTTTATAGTCTCCTCTACCATTCACTGATATGGGTTTCATCCTACTTCATTCCCTCATCATCTCATGAGTAAATGGATGTAGTACCCTGCTAACTGCTGTCCTCTCTAGTCTAGCTTGTACATTGATTTCCTAAAATGTCTTTTTAACTTAATTCTTCTAAGCTATGTCTTTAATGGTACCACAATCTATCTAGGACAAAGTCTGATTGTTGCTTAGTATTCAAGACCTCTTTGTAATACCAATCTACCTTTCCAGCATCAACTTTCATTATCTTCCTACATGAGTCCTATACTACAAATAGACTCACGTACTATCAGTTTACCAGATAAATAGTATCTTGTGTTCTCTCACCTCCATGATTTTTTTTTCACAGTTCCCATAACTACATATTAAAGGCCAGACAGGTACTTGGAATCACAGTAAGTCAAACTCAGTGTTAATCCACTGAACTAACTCCTCATCAAGGGAGTTCAATGAGCTAAGGCACTATAGATCTAGACCTCAGTTTCCTTATCTGAGCAAAAGTGGATTGAGTTCTCTTAACCCTATGATTCTATAATTTGGGCTACTCTGATTTCTGTTCGCTTATAAAGGAAATGAAATTTAACCTGAACCTTGAAATAGAGGTGTCTTAATAAATTCTTTCTTGACTACCCCAAAGTGATCACTCTTTTTTTTTTTTAGTATTTGTAACAAATGAATAAAAATATATGTATTAAGCACTTACTATGTTCCAGGAACTGTACTAAGTGTTGGGGCTACAAATAGAAATAAGCAAGGCAGCCTCTGTCCTCAAAGTGATTACATTTTAATGTGGAAAGATAATACATATAGATGAGTGGTGGCTAGAGAGGAATGCTTTGAATAGAGAAATTTTGGTGTCTGAAGTAATAAGGCAATTGATTGACATGTACATAGAGGGAATGGTGCCTCAGAGCTGGTTACTATTCTTCCCACAAGAGTTTGAAGAGGAGAGGAGATTCAGCTCTCCACAGCATGGCAAAGAGATGGCCAGAAATGACATGGCGAGTCTGAGATCAGGCAAGATAAGTGAAGTGCTCACAATTAGAGCCCAGAGTCCTTCAGTTTTTGTTAAGAGGTGAAGGTGAAGGCTGGAGAGTAGTTCAAATTACACAGGGATGGCCAGGAAGTCATCAATTTCTATATCATTTCAGTGGATTCAGATCTCATGAATAGGGAAATTCCTTTCACACCAATATAGATTGCAGACCATGCATGTCTTCTTATCCTGTATATTTTGCTTGTGTCTGTGTTTTGTTTTTTGTAAGTGTCCAATAGATGTGTTAGCTAACATGCTGGAGGTCACCTTTTTGGTTAGTTTGGTTTTGTTGTTGGGTTTTTTTTTTGTGGTTTTTTTTTTTCATATTTTGTGGATGCCAGTACAGTTCTCTCTCTCTCCCTCTCTTTCTCTTTTGGCGAGGCAATTGGGGATTAAGTGACTTGCCCAGGATCACACAAGCTAGTAAGTGTCGAGTGTCTGAGGTCACATTTGAACTCAGGTCCTCCTGACTTCAGGGCCAGTAGTCTATCCATTGCACCACCTAGCTGCCCCACTCTGTCCTCTCTTAACTCTCACTCCTACTCTGTGAGACACAACCAGCCTACCTTCTTCTCACATTATGCTCATTCATGCTCATACCAACACCATGTTGGTGTCTTTTATTCCACTTCTCCCATACAAGTCACCATTGTTTACACGCACCTGTCATCTGTTAGGCAGCCTGCTGTCCATTCTCATACCTACAACTTTGATCATCCTGAGAATATGCTATAGAGGTCACAGCCAGTAGCATCACCAGGAGAATATTGTTTAAAAAAAAAAAAGATGGGTGCAAGGATTCTGGGAAGATGGCAGAATGGATCAGAAAACTTCAGGCTCTCCAAATTTCTTCCACAAAAAAGAACATCACCTCAAGTGAATGTAGAGTAGCAGAAATAAACAAAAGTCAAAGTAAAGCAGTTGTCTTCCTAAGACAACTTGAGAAAATCCCAAGAAAGACTTGACTTCCAGGGATGGAGGTTTGTCCTGAGTGAAATGCAAACACCTCCAGGCTGACTGTGGAATCAACAAACAACAAGCCCTGGGGCAGCTGGGTTGGGAGTCAGCCTCAGCCTCAGGAACTTTGCACCTCAGGGACAGTGTGGAAGTTGCACAGCTAAGTTAGAGATGATTGAAGGAAGATTGTCAGGGACACCAAGCATAGCTGTGCGAACCATATTTGGTCCCTGGCTGCAGCTGTGGGGGTGAAGGAGCTAGGAGCGGAGAACCTGCTGGCTATGGGCACTTGCTAGAGAGTAGAGACCCTGATTTCAGTTTCAGGGCAGACAAGACAGTTGAAGTTTACAGCCACCAGAGGGAGACCACAGGGAGCAAGAGCATTTTTGAATTTAATAG